CAGCTCTATGGTGACAGCTCTATGGTGACAGCTCTATGGCAGCAGCTCTATGGTGCAGCTCTATGGCAGCAGCTCTATGGTGACAGCTCTATGGTGACAGCTCTATGGTGACAGCTCTATGGCAGCAGCTCTATGGCAGCAGCTCTATGGTGACAGCTCTATGGCAGCAGCTCTATGGTGACAGCTCTATGGTGACAGCTCTATGGCAGCAGCTCTATGTGACAGCTCTATGGCAGCAGCTCTATGGTGACAGCTCTATGGTGACAGCTCTTATGGCAGCAGCTCTATGGCAGCAGCTCTATGGTGACAGCTCTATGGTGACAGCTCTATGGCAGCAGCTCTATGGTGACAGCTCTATGGCAGCAGCTCTATGGTGACAGCTCTATGGTGACAGCTCTATGGTGACAGCTCTATGGCAGCAGCTCTATGGCAGCAGCTCTATGGTGACAGCTCTATGGTGACAGCTCTATGGTGACAGCTCTATGGCAGCAGCTCTATGGCAGCAGCTCTATGGTGACAGCTCTATGGCAGCAGCTCTATGGTGACAGCTCTATGGTGACAGCTCTATGGCAGCAGCTCTATGGCAGCAGCTCTATGGTGACAGCTCTATGGTGACAGCTCTATGGCAGCAGCTCTATGGCAGCAGCTCTATGGTGACAGCTCTATGGTGACAGCTCTATGGCAGCAGCTCTATGGTGACAGCTCTATGGCAGCAGCTCTATGGTGACAGCTCTATGGTGACAGCTCTATGGCAGCAGCTCTATGGCAGCAGCTCTATGGTGACAGCTCTATGGCAGCAGCTCTATGGCAGCAGCTCTATGGTGACAGCTCTATGGCAGCAGCTCTATGGCAGCAGCTCTATGGTGACAGCTCTATGGCAGCAGCTCTATGGTGACAGCTCTATGGTGACAGCTCTATGGCAGCAGCTCTATGGCAGCAGCTCTATGGTGACAGCTCTATGGTGACAGCTCTATGGCAGCAGCTCTATGGCAGCAGCTCTATGGTGACAGCTCTATGGCAGCAGCTCTATGGTGACAGCTCTATGGTGACAGCTCTATGGCAGCAGCTCTATGGCAGCAGCTCTATGGTGACAGCTCTATGGTGACAGCTCTATGGCAGCAGCTCTATGGTGACAGCTCTATGGTGACAGCTCTATGGCAGCAGCTCTATGGTGACAGCTCTATGGCAGCAGCTCTATGGTGACAGCTCTATGGTGACAGCTCTATGGTGACAGCTCTATGGCAGCAGCTCTATGGCAGCAGCTCTATGGTGACAGCTCTATGGCAGCAGCTCTATGGCAGCAGCTCTATGGTGACAGCTCTATGGCAGCAGCTCTATGGTGACAGCTCTATGGCAGCAGCTCTATGGCAGCAGCTCTATGGTGACAGCTCTATGGCAGCAGCTCTATGGTGACAGCTCTATGGTGACAGCTCTATGGTGACAGCTCTATGGCAGCAGCTCTATGGCAGCAGCTCTATGGTGACAGCTCTATGGCAGCAGCTCTATGGTGACAGCTCTATGGTGACAGCTCTATGGTGACAGCTCTATGGTGACAGCTCTATGGCAGCAGCTCTATGGTGACAGCTCTATGGTGACAGCTCTATGGTGACAGCTCTATGGCAGCAGCTCTATGGCAGCAGCTCTATGGTGACAGCTCTATGGTGACAGCTCTATGGCAGCAGCTCTATGGTGACAGCTCTATGGTGACAGCTCTATGGCAGCAGCTCTATGGCAGCAGCTCTATGGTGACAGCTCTATGGTGACAGCTCTATGGTGACAGCTCTATGGCAGCAGCTCTATGGTGACAGCTCTATGGTGACAGCTCTATGGTGACAGCTCTATGGTGACAGCTCTATGGCAGCAGCTCTATGGCAGCAGCCGTTCAGCCGCGCTCCCGTCCCCTCCAGCCCCGTGGCGCTGGCACGTGCTGGCAGTGTCCGGCCCCGGCAGGGTCCTGGCAGGGTCCCCACTGCCACACACGGGCCCCTTGTCCGGCCCCGGGGCCTTCCTGCAGCAGGGGCCGAGCCCGGTGCCCGCCACAAGTTGGGTCTTTGTTCCCTGTGGGGCTGCGTGGGTGCTGCGGCTGCGGGGCCGGGAGACTCCGGCCATGTCCCATCCCCATCCCATCCCCACCCCATCCCCATGTCCCATCCCCATCCCATCCCCACCCCATCCCCATGTCCCGTCCCCATCCCATCCCCACCCCATCCCCATGTCCCATCCCCACCCCATCCCCACCCCATCCCCATGTCCCATCCCCATCCCATCCCCACCCCATCCCCATGTCCCGTCCCCATCCCATCCCCACCCCATCCCCATGTCCCATCCCCACCCCATCCCCATGTCCCATCCCCACCCCATCCCCACCCCGTCCCCATGTCCCATCCTCATGTCCATGTCCCATCCCCACCCCGTCCCCATGTCCCATCCCCACCCCATCCCCATGTCCCATCCCCATCCCATCCCCACCCCGTCCCCATGTCCCATCCCCACCCCGTCCCCATGTCCCATCCTCATGTCCATGTCCCATCCCCATCCCGTCCCCATGTCCCATCCCCATCCCGATCCCACAGCCCTGTCTTTCTGCAGCCCCACAGGGCCCAGTGCAAAGCACGGCCCCCCCTGGACCCCCACCTAGGAGCCCATGACCCGGTGTGACTCCAGCTCCTCCCTGGTGGGCTCCTGGGTCCCGGCTGCACTGAACCCGGCTCCTTCCTTGGGATCCCGCTCCCACCGCAGCAGCAGGATCCGACCTTCATCCATGTTCATCTGGCCTGTGCTATGAGGGTCCCGCGGCTGCAGGTGGGGGCACCAGCACCCAAGGGGCAGGGTCACACCATCAGCTCCCATAGGAAGAGCTGCGAGTCCCACAGCCGGGGGCTGCAGGGGCAGTACAGGACCCTCGGGGTGCCGGGAGTGCCACAGCGGGGACATCCCCTTGCCCAGGGATGTCCCCACGGATGCCCCCATGCCCAGGGATGTCCCCATGCCCAGGGATGCCCCCATGCCCAGGGATGTCCCCAGGGATGTCCCCATGCCCAGGGATGTCCCCAGGGATGCCCCCATGCCCAGGGATGCCCCCATGCCCAGGGATGTCCCCATGCCCAGGGATGTCCCCAGGGATGCCCCATGCCCAGGGATGCCCCCAGGGACGCCCCCGTGCCAGACCCCATCCCCGGGCAGCAGCAGGGCTGCGGAGCCACCCGGGGGGTACCGCGGGGGGGTGCCGCGAGGGGCAGCGGGACCAGCCCTGCCTTGGCTGCGCTGCTGCGGGATGAGGTCACGGCTGCTCCTCTCCCAGCCGCAGTGAGGTCAGGGCCCCACAGGAGCCTCCAGCGGGGGGGCAGAGCGACCCCGAGGCCCTGGCAGCTCCCGAGCACCCAGCACCGTGCCCCGCACCCGGCTGCGCCCACCCCATTGCTCCTGCCCCGGGCTCTGCTCCCCTGGCCCCGGCCCCGCAGCAGCCGAGTGCGAGCGGAGCCGCTGCTGGGGATGGACTCGGCCCCTCCAGCGCCGCCACCGCCCGGCTCCAGCCCCGGCCTCACCCAGCGCCCAGGGACACATCCTGCACCCCAGCACCCGCGATCTGCACCCTTCATCCTGCACCCCAGCCCCAGCATCCACGTCCTGCATCCCAATACTCCGGTGGGTTCATGTCCCACACCCCAGCCCCCAGGGTCCACATCCCACATCCACTGATCCACCTCCTGCACCCAGCCCCATCCCTCGTGGTCCACATCCTGCACCCAGCCCCATCCCTCCTGGTCCACCTCCTGCACCCAGCCCCATCCCTCGTGGTCCACATCCTGCACCCAGCCCCATCCCTCCTGGTCCACCTCCTGCACCCAGCCCCATCCCTCCTGGTCCACCTCCTGCACCCAGCCCCATCCCTCGTGGTCCACATCCTGCACCCAGCTCCATCCCTCGTGGTCCACATCCTGCACCCAGCCCCATCCCTCGTGGTCCACCTCCTGCACCCAGCCCCATCCCTCGTGGTCCACATCCTGCACCCAGCCCCATCCCTCGTGGTCCACATCCTGCACCCAGCCCCATCCCTCGTGGTCCACATCCTGCACCCAGCCCCATCCCTCCTGGTCCACATCCTGCACCCAGCCCCATCCCTCCTGGTCCACATCCTGCACCCAGCCCCATCCCTCCTGGTCCACCTCCTGCACCCAGCCCGGGGTCCTGGTCGGGCTGTGGGCACCACACAAGGTCTGGCAGAGCTCTCAAACTCCTCAGTGCTTTATTTCAGCGACAGCCCCAGCGCGGGCAGCACCCCCAGGCACGCACCAGGGGTGCATGGACCTGACCCACATGGTGGGACCCACACAGCAAGACACGTGCCAGAGCAGCCCTGGGCACCAAGCACAACACCACAGGGCACCAAGCACAGCACCACAGGGCACCGCAGCCATAGGCACCAAGCACAGCACCACAGGGCACCAGGCACAGCACCACAGGGCACCAAGCACAGCACCACAGGGCACCAGGCACAGCACCACAGGGCACCGCAGCTCTTTCCTGCTGGAGGAGGCTCTGGCCAAGCCCCAGGAGCTCAGGGATGAGCACTGGGACATCCCAAGGGAGCGCTGGTGGTGGCTCATGAAGGGCGCTCCAGGGACCTTCACGATGCAGCACGGGTGGGCTGAGCTCTGCACACACCGGGCTCCCCAAGCTCCCCAAGCTCCTGCTGCGGGCAGGCTCAGCCCTGGGCCCCTGCCTGCATCCCTGCAGGAGCCAGCCCTGTGCCACCTCTCCAGCACAGCACCAGCTCCCCGGAGCCTCCCGGTGCAGGATGTGGCGGATTCCCCCTATGCCACAGCCCCTGGGAGCCAGAGCAGCAGCTCCAGCGCTGCCGCGCCGGCTTCCAGCAGTGCAGCTCCAGGAGCAGCAGAGGAGCAGGGGGACACTGGCAGCACCCACCCAGACAGTGGCACCGTCCCTGTGCCGGCCCCCACAGCACCCAGGGCCCACCAGCACCCTCCTCCCGGGCAGCAGCACCACTGAAGCCCAGCACGTCCCATCTCAAGCCCTAGAGGACAGGGGAAGCAGTGGGAGCTCACAGAGCCCCTCCAGCACCAGCCCACGCTCCTGTGCTTGCACCGGAGCCCAGCACCCTGCTCGCTGGAGGGGGCTTCTGGCACAGGCAGGGGCAGTGTGGGAGCTCTCGGGGTCTCCTGTGCCCCATGTCCCACACTGGTGCTCTCCTGCTCTGCCCCTGTGCAGTCTGTGCATGGGCCAGCACCCTCCTCCCAGCACCACCAGCATGGGGATGGAGAGCAGCGCCCAGCATGGATCCTGTGCTCACCCCAGGCTTGGGAAGAAGCTGGGCCCGGGCCCAGCCCCAGCATGGGGCCAGCTCTGTCCCAGCCCTGCACAACAGCTTCCCAACAGGTCAAGGCTGTGCACTGCCCCATTCGGAGGCTGCAGCCGGAGGTGCAGGGGCACCAAGTCCTTCTCCCGAGGCTGCCTTAAGCTTCGAGGTCCGAAAAGTCACCAGCTCCTTTTGAGGAGCTTGCCCAAGGCTGGAGGAGGAACCGAGGCCACGCAGCCAAGGCAGGGCCAGGCTGGTCCCCGTGTCCCTGGGAGCAGAACCCCGCTCTGCCCACGGCACCCTCCAAAGAAGCAGGGAGCAGGTTCCCACCTCCATCCTCCTGCCCATCCCAGTAGCCAGCAGGGAGCCAGGACAGGGGGTATCACCTCGGGGGTCCCCAGCAAGAGTCCCCAGCTCTGCTCCAGGCGCAGCCAGGGACCATGTGCAGACACTTGTGGGGCCCAGGACCCCGGAACAATCCTTGTGGCAGCTCCACAGCAAACATCCTGGCCCCAGCCTGGGGACAACAGAAGGAAGGGGCTCTGCCCCCCCAGCCTGCTAGAAGTGCTTGTCCTCCAGCAGCGAGCTCACCACCAGCTCCTTGTTGCCGAAGTCCCAGAAGGCAGTCATGTGGAAGGCCATGTTGGAGAGCACAACCAGGTACTCCAGGAAGGCGAAGATGGTGTACACTGGGGAGGAAGCACAGCACGTGAGGGAGGGCAGCCTGCGGGCAGAGCTGCCCCACGGGCAGGGGGTACCCAGGGCTGCTCTCCTGTGGGCACCACCCCAGCCCCGTCCCCGTGCCCTCACCTCCGGGGCCGCAGTACCAGTTGTGGTGGAAGTAGACACACACAGCAAATGCAAACGTGATGAAGGTGAAGAAGAAGAGAAGTTGCTTCCACTTGTAGGACTTGCGCTCCTGGCAGGGGACAAAGAGATGGGTCAGGTCCCTGGCCGGGTCCCAGCGCCTGCCCCAGCATGCGAACATACACCGAGGCCACAGGTGCCTCAGCGGATAGTGGAGAAGCCACCCCTGCCTCCAGAAAAGCTCTGTCCTGGCCCCAGCAGGGCACGGGAAGGCATCAGGAGCTCCACAGCATAGAAACATGGAATCACAGAGAGATTTGGGTCGAAGGGACCTCAAAGCTCCTCCAGCTCCAACCCCTGCCCCGGGCAGGGACCCCTTCCATAGAGCAGCTTGCTCCAAGCCCCTGTGTCCAACCTGGCCTTGAGCACTGCCAGGGATGGGGCAGCCACAGCTTCTCTGGGCACCCTGTGCCAGCGCCTCAGCACCCTCCCAGGGAAGAGCTTCTGCCTAAGAGCTCAGCTCAGTCTCCCCTCGGGCAGGTTCAAGCCATTCCCCTTGGCCTGTCCCTACATCCCTTGTTCCAAGCCCCTCTCCAGCTTCCCTGCAGCCCCTTTAGGCACTGGAGCTGCTCTCAGGTCTCCCCTTCACACAGCAGAGGGTCAGGATCCCCTCCCTGAGCTGCTGCTCACGCTCTGGGGGTGCACCCAGCACACGGGGGGGTCTGGGCTCAAGTGCACACTGGAGCCGAGTCATGAGGAGCTTCTCCTCACCCAGCACCCCAAGTCCTCCTCAGGCTCCATCCCATCATCCCCAGCCTGGCTTTGTGCTGGGGTTGCCCCGACCAGGGCAGGGCCTTGCCCTTGGCCTGCTTGGGCTCCATGAGATTCCCATGGTCCCAGCTCTCAGCCTGCCCAGCTCCCTGTGGATGCTGCTCTCCGTGCTGGTGCCCAGGGCTCCACCACAGGGTCTGCGCTGCAGGTGGCTCCTCCACGGGGCTCTGTGGGAATTCACCGGCCCCAGGGAGCAGGAAACCACATCAAGAGCTGCAGCTGGGGCGGGCGCTGCACGAGGCGGGCGCCCTGGCACCGGGGCCCCATCCTGCCCCGGCACCACCTCCCGCAGCACAGCGAGGGGTGCAGGGCACGGGGCTGCTCCAGAGCCCCCCATCACACAGCAGGGCTGGGCTGGCAGAGACTGGCCCCTGCCTGCATGGTGGGTCCCCAAACCCACTGCCCCGTCCACACGTGGCCCAGCACCCCCAAAGCTGGGGGCTGTGGGTTCAGTCCCCTCCCACTCTTCCATCACCCACCATGGATAATGAAACCCAAAGCCCTGGGGTGAGCAGGGAGCCCCAGGGGCAGAGGAGACCCAAACGCTTCCGGACATGGAGGGGGATGCAGGGGAGACCCCAGTGCAGGGACACCAAGCGCTGGGGCAGGGGGGCTGGAAACAAGGGCTCAGGGCCATATCGGGGCTGTTATTCCTGCTCCTGGGTGGGAGGGGGATTTCCCCCTCGCTGATGTTTCCACACGAGACAGCCCCATCTGTCTGCAGGGGCTGGTGAGCAGGAGGAAAATTCACCTCGCCCCATCACACTTTCCATTGCCCCAGAAAGCTCAGACCAGCCTGAGAGAGGAACCGGGCCACGCAGGAGGAAAACCCAGAGGGGCAGGGCAGCCCCAGGCACCTTCACCAGCTGGGACATGGGCAGGGCAGGTCCCTTCCTGCTCCGGCTGATGACCTCTGACAGCTCCTGGGGCATCCCTTTCTAACCCCCTGCAGCCCTGATCCAGCCCTGGGGCACCAACACAAGAGGGATGTGGAGCTGTTGGAGTGAGGCCAGAGGAGGCCACGGAGCTGCTGCGAGGGCTGGAGCAGCTCTGCTCTGGAGCCAGGCTGAGAGAGCTGGGCTGGGGCAGCCTGGAGAAGAGAAGGCTCCTGAAGGGGAGACCTGAGAGCAGCTCCAGTGCCTGAAGGGGCTGCAGGAAAGCTGGAGAGGGGCTTGGGACAAGGGATGTAGGGACAGGCCAAGGGGAATGGCTTGAACCTGCCCGAGGGGAGACTGAGCTGAGCTCTTAGGCAGAAGCTCTTCCCTGGGAGGGTGCTGAGGCGCTGGCACAGGGTGCCCAGAGAAGCTGTGGCTGCCCCATCCCTGGCAGTGCTCAAGGCCAGGTTGGACACAGGGGCTTGGAGCAAGCTGCTCTATGGAAGGGGTCCCTGCCCGTGGCAGGGGTTGGGGCCAGATGTGCTCCAAGGTCCCTGCACCCCAAACCCGGCCGTTCCCCTGCCCCCGCAGCACTGCCAACCCCAGCACCTGGAAGCGCTGATGCTCGCTGGGCGCTGCCGGGCCCGGGTGGGGGCTGGGGCGCTGCGAGCTTGAGAGCGGAAGCGGGTCACAAAGAGCCCGCGCGTGGCGGCTGCGGAAACGGCGGCGCCCGGAGAGCGGCTCCTGCCAGCAGCAAGGGAGCAGCAGCTCCGCTGCACCGCGACTCAGCACTGCATGGGGTCACAGAGCGATAGAGCACTGCACTGCACTGCACTGCACCGGGTCACAGAGCAATAGAGTACTGCACTGCACTGCACCGGGTCACAGAGCAATAGAGTACTGCACTGCACCAGGTCATAGAGTGATAGAGCACTGCACTGCACTGGGTCATAGAGTGATAGAGCACTGCACTGCACCGGGTCATAGAGTGATAGAGCACTGCACTGCACCGGGTCATAGAGTGATAGAGCACTGCACTGCACCGGGCCATAGAGTGATAGAGCACTGCACTGCACTGCACCGGGTCATAGAGTGATAGAGCACTGCACTGCACCAGGTCATAGAGTGATAGAGCACTGCACTGCACCAGGTCATAGAGTGATAGAGCACTGCACTGCACCGGGCCATAGAGTGATAGAGCACTGCACTGCACTGGGTCATAGAGTGATAGAGCACTGCACTGCACTGGGTCATAGAGCGATAGAGCACTGCACTGCACCGGGTCATAGAGCGATAGAGCACTGCACTGCACTGCACCGTTTCATAGAGCGATGGAGCACTGCACGGGGTCATAGAACGATAGAGCACTGCACTGCACCGGGTCATGGAGCAATAGAGCACTGCACTGCACAGGGTCACAGAGCGATAGAGTACTGCACTGCACAGGGTCATAGAGCGATAGAGCACTGCACTGCACCGGGTCATAGAGTGATAGAGCACTGCACTGCACCGGGTCATAGAGCGATAGAGCACTGCACTGCACCGGGTCATAGAGTGATAGAGCACTGCACTGCACCGGGTCATGGAGCAATAGAGCAGAGCACTGCACTGCACGGGGTCATAGAGTGATAGAGCACTGCACAGGGTCACAGAGCGATAGAGCGCAGCACTGCACTGCACAGGGTCATAGAGCGATAGAGCACTGCACTGCACCGGGTCATAGAGTGATAGAGCACTGCACTGCACCGGGTCATAGAGTGATAGAGCACTGCACTGCACGGGGTCATAGAGCGATAGAGCACTGCACAGGGTCACAGAGCGATAGAGCACTGCACTGCACAGGGTCACAGAGCGATAGAGCACTGCACTGCACCGGGTCACAGAGCGATAGAGCACTGCACTGCACTTCACCGGGTCATAGAGCGATAGAGCACTGCACAGGGTCACAGAGCGATAGAGCACTGCACTGCACCGGGTCACAGAGCGATAGAGCACTGCACTGCACTTCACCGGGTCATAGAGCAATAGAGCACCGCACTGGACCAGGTCATAGAGCGCTGCACTGCACTGGGTCATAAGAGCACCGCACCGGGTTGTACACAATCTATTCTATACTAATCCCAAACGCATCAGCCATGCTCTCCGGGCTGCTCCCAAGGGCTGGCTCTGTTCCTGGACCTTCCCTTCCAGGGGACAAGCAGCACAAGGGGACCCCAGAACTGCCTTAACCAGCACTGAGGGGCAGGAGCAGCAGCGCAGCGAGCAGGGGGCTGGGCTCACACCAAGCGGCACCGCTGCCTCTGTGCCTGCTGCAGGACAAGCCCAGCAGGACCCGGCTGCACTGGGGGCTGCAGCAGCCGGCCCATGCACACGCGTCCCTCAGCCCCACAGGACAGCGGGGCTGGGCCAGGGGCAAACACGGCTGCAAACCAGAAGTGAAACCGCTCTGCTCCGCTGCGCCCTCCGTGCCCTCAGGAGGCAGCTGGGGCAGGAGGGGTGTGAGGGGGGAGCAGCCCATGGCCCCAGAGAGGACAACCCCACACCAGCCCTGGCAGGCACCGAGGCCCCGGCTGCTGCCTCCAGCCCAGAGCTGCCCTCTCTCTGCCTCCAGTTCCCCTTCTCCCCCAGCTCTCCCCTTCCTTCCCCTCCTCCTCGGAGCCTTCCTCCCGCCTCCCCTCCTGCACAGCTTCATCTTCCCTTCTCTCACCATTTGCCACCCTGCAGCTGGAACCCGCCTGCACTTCCCCATCTCGGCCCGGTTCCTCAGCACCCTCCTGCCCTCGCACAGAGGCACTTGCGACACCAGCCCCAGCACCGAGGCTTTTGCAAGACCGATTCCTGTCCCGCACCCTCCAGCAGCACTGCTGGAAACTGCACTGAGGGGCTGGGACCAGAGCCTCAGCCCTGCTCGGCTGGAGCAGGAGGAAGGACGGGGGCTCCTGCACGGACTTGGTCCTGGAGATGGTCCCAGGGTTGGTCCTGGAGAACCCGAACCCCTCTGGGCACCCTGAGTGGCTCCGTCTCCCGGTACCCTCTGCTGAGGAGGAGGGAAGGACGGGACAGCACAGGACAGGGTCATGCTCCTCACCCATCCCCTGCTGCCAGGGCCGGCTCCAGGGCTGGGGGAGCGAAGCTCAGAACCGACACAAACAGAGCCCAAATCTGCCCTTGAGCCGCCCTGACCTGCCAGACCCTGTCCTCGAGCAGCACCACGAGCCCCCAGCCTGGCAGCTCAGCACGAGCTGCCCAACTTCTCCCTGCTCCTGCCGAGGCCGGCACTGCCTACCAGCACTTCCCACCGGCCGCCCGGCTCAGGGTGAGGAGGATGTGGTGGTGCTGATGGTGGCACCGGGCCTGTGATGGCCTCAGCACCCCCCCTCTGCCAACCTGAGCCCAGTGGTGGCCT